GATCTCTGGAAGTTCGAGACCAGCCTGGCCTACAATTTCCAGAATAGCCTGTGCTACACAGTGAAACCCTGTCTTGAAAAGCAACAACAGAAATAAAAACAAAAGGTATCATTTAACTTTGTTTTGTTTTTGAGCTTACTATGAAGTCCCAGCTGGCTTTGAACTCTCCAAGTAGACCAGGCTGGCCTTACACTCACAGAAATCAACTTACCTCTGTCTCTGAAAGGTTAGGATTAATGGTATGTGCCCCCAAACCAGGCATCATTTAACCTTTTAAGACTTCTTTGTATGCATGTATGTGTGTAAATGTAGTTTTTGAGAGGGTTTTACTCCATAGCCCAGGTTGGTTCCCCTCAGCAATCTCTTACCTTAGTCTCCTGAATGTTGGCATTGCAGGCATGAGCCACTGTGACTGCCAGGGTGCATGAATGCTTAGACTTTTGTTCTTGTTTGAAGCAGTCCAGGCTGCCTGAAACACACTATGTAGCGAAGATGGCTAATCTTCCTTTCTTTACTGCCAAAGTGTGCCAGTAGAGGCATGCATCACCATATTTGTTTAATTTACTCGAGGTAGCATCAAATCACCCAGGAACACAGAAGGACCCAGAAGCCTGGGATAGCTATAGTTAATACCATCTGTTCCTCTTGTAAGGGCCCAAAAGGTCTTTTTCAAGACCTTTTCTCTTTGGTCCTTGAATGCACTCTATAAAGGAGGCTAGCCTTGAACTCAAGAGCTCCTGAGTGCTGGGATTAAAGTTGTGTGCCACCAACACGCAGCTATTTTTTTTTTTTTTTAAGATTTATTATGTAAACAGGGTTCTGCCTGCATATCTGTCTGCAGGCCAGAAGAGGGCACCAGATCTCCATACAGATGGTTGTGAGCCATCATTTGTTTGCTGGGAATTAAACTCAGGACCTCTGGAAAGGCAGCCAGTGCTCTTAACCACTGAGCCATCTCTCCAGCCTTCATTTATTTATTTATTCTATGTATTTGGGTGTTTTGTCTGCATACATATCTGTGTACCACATGCATTCCTAGTGCCTTCAGAGACCAGAAGAGGGCATAGCCAGCTTCCCTGAGATTGGAGTTGCAGAGGACTGGGTTGCAGTGCTGGGAACTAAACCCAGGGCTCCTAACTGCTGACCAGCCTGTTTTCTCCAGCCTGTTCTGTTTCTGAAAGCCCCTTGTTACTTTTTAACTTTACTGCTAATTGTGTGCTGGTTCACCTATTACTAGAACTGGGTATGCATTAAAAGAGGAGCTCAAGATAACAGTTCAGTGGAAGAACATTTGCCCAGCACACACAGGCTTGGGTAAATTTCCCAACAAGGTAAAAAAAAAAAATGGGGGAGGTCTGGGACAGACTAGTGGTGGTGTACACCAAAACCTCAGTCCTCTGGGGGCAAAGATGGAGATCTCTGTAAGTTCAGGGCCATCGTGGTCTGCAGATCAAGATCCAGGACAGAAACCCTGTCTCAAAAAGTAAAAACAAAACAACAACAACAATAACAAAATATCAAGCCTTCCCTATAAGAACATTTTCACATGACATAACTTATCTTCCTACCATTTCTTCCTTATCATCTCGATTCTTTGTGTGTGTTCATCTGTGTGCAAGTGCATGTATGTATATGTAGAGGTCAGACGTCAACCTAAGGTGTCTTTCCTCAAGTGTCAGCACACCCTACCTCCCCTTTTTTGAGGTAGAGTCTTACTAAGTAGCCCTGGTTGAACTTGAGACTTAGACCAGACTGGCCTCCAACTCAAAGAGATCCACTGCCTCTGCTGCCTAGTGCTGGGATCAAAGGTGTGTGTCGCTAGGTCTAGATCACCCTTATTTTATAGGCCAGGGTCACTCCTTGTCCTGGAGCTAGCCAAGTGAGCGAGCTGTCTGGCCACTGAGCCACAGTGATCTATCTGTCTCTGCCACTCCAGTGCCATGGGACTGAAGTGTACAGCTGGCCATTTCATTTTTTTATATGGTTTCTGGGGATTGAACTCTGCTTACCTGTCCAATAGCTTACCAAGCAAGTTTACTGCCAGCACCTTGTCTCCTGACTCATGTGTTCTGAGCTTACTCTTTCAGAAGGTATTTATGAGGAGGATGAGGCAGATGTCCTCACAGGCTCGCTGTCTAGTGATTGATAAAGTCACACATTACAATTGGGGAGGCATGGGGCTGGGGAGGCGGCTCAGGGGGGAAAGTGCAGCACAGATATAGAGACCTGAATTTGTGTTTGGACCCCTGGAAAATACCAGAAGACACATGTCTCAGTGGTATACATGCGGGGGGGGGGCAGTGTTCATGAGGACCCAAGGGGCTCAGTGGCCAGCAATTCCAGCCAAAAAGGTGAACCCCAGCTTCAGTAGAAGACCCAGTCTTGGAGCTAGAGAAAAAGCTCAGGGGTTAAGATCACTGCCTGTCCTTCCAAAGGTTCTGAGTTCGATTTCCAGCAACCACATGGCGGCTCACAACCATCTGTAATGAAGTCTGGTGCCTTCTTCTTGCTTGCAGGCAGAACTCTGTATACATAATAAATAAACCTTTAAAAAAAGAATATACTTTTAAAAAATTAAGGAAGAAGACTCAGTCTCAAAACATAAGGCAGAGATGGATGAAGGAAGACACTCACCATCACTCTGGCCCCCACACTGCTCCACACCGAGTGGTACACACTCCAATAGGGGAGGTCTGCACTGCTGGTGAACTCCGTAACACAGTCTGCTGTAGTATAGAGAGCAAAGGATTGCCACACACCTGTAACCCCAGAATTCACTCGGAAAGCAGAAGTGTGAGGCTCTACACAGACAGTTCAGGTTCTAGGTTCCCAGGGCTACACAGTGAGAGCTTGTCTCAGTATCAACAGAATGAAGATTTTGAGCTGACGCCGAAAGGGATGTTTGGATCAGGGAAGGGGTACATTCTGGAAGTTGGAAAGAGAGTTCCAGGCAAAGGGGTCAGAAGTGTAAAGACTTAGCACAGAAGAGAGGCACCCTACAGTGTGCCCCCTGGAGGGAGGTTGGGGGCTGGAGAGGTGGCTCAGCAGTTAAGAGCACTGGCTGGTCTTCCAGAGGTCCTGAGTTCAACTCCCAGCAATCACAGCGTAGCTCATAACCATCTATAATGAGACCTATCTCATTACAGCCTGACTGGCTGGCTAACAAGTGAGATACCACTCAACCCCCCTTCTCTACCTCCTGCACTGGTCTTACTGGTGTGCTCTGCCTTGCCTGGTATTTTTAGCTAAGTGCTATGGATCAAACTCAGGTGTTCACAGGAATGGTAAAAAACATCTTATAGGCTAAGTTCCAATTTCCACGGACTTTAGTTATTTAAGAATAAAAATATGACCAGGAGTGGTGGCACATGCCTTTAATCCCAGCAGTTGGGAGGCAGAGATGGGCAAATCTTTGACTTTGAGGCCAGGCTGGTCTACAGAATGAGTTCCAGGACAGCTGGGGCTACACAGGGATAATTCTCACTATCATTATGTAGCCATGGCTGGCCTAGAACTTACTATGTATACTAGGCCAGCTTTGAACTCACAGAGCTCCTCTGCCTCTCCAGTCTGGGTCTAAAGGTGTGTGCCACTCAGCTATGGTAGCTTTTGGTTGATAGTTCATATGGAAGGGCCCAGCTCACTGTGAGCTCCTGGGCTGGTGGCCCTGGTGCTGTAACAAAACAGGCTAGTCAAGCAGTCATGGCGTGTGCCTTTAATCCCAGCACTCGGCAACTCGGCAGACAACTCCTGGTGAGTTCAAGGCCAGTTTGGTCTACAGAGCAAGTTCCAGGACAACCAGGACTACACAAAGAGACCTTGTCTCAAAAGACCCAAAACTAACTAAATAAATTAAAAAAAAATATTCGGCCGGGCAGTGGTGGCACAGTCCTTTAATTCCAGCACTCGGGAGGTGGGGGGGGGCGCACAAAGGCAGGCTCACAGAGTTCAAGACCAGCCTGGTCTACAAAGCTAGTTCCAGGACAGCTTCCAAAGCCACAGAGAAACCCTGTCTCGGAATCCCCCCCAAATAAATAAATAAAAGGTGTGTGTGTGTGTGTGTGTGTGTGTGTGTGTGTGTGTGTGCCCACATGTTGTTTGGGATCATGTGTGTGCAGATGAGTCTGCCAAAAGAAAGCATTAGAATACCTGGAGTTATAGGTAGTTGTTTTTCAAGACAGGTTTTCACTATGCAGTCCTGACTGGCCTGGAACTTGCTATGTAGACCAGGCTGACCTGGAATTCAGAGATCCACCTACCTCTGCCTTCTGAGTGCTAGTGGGATTAAAGGCATGTAACTTTAAATAAGACTGTTTGTTTGTGTTGCCTTAGCTGTCCTAGAACTACTGTAGACCAAGCTGTCCTTGAACTCACAGAGATCCCCCTGCCTTTGCTTCCCCAGTGCGGGAATTAAAAGCCTGGGCCACTACTGCCTGGCCCACTGCTAGAATCTTAATAACAGATACTTTTGCCTCACTGGAAACTGGACTGCCCTTATTTCCTAGGCCCTACAACAGTTGCTTCGCTCAGTACCCGGTCCTCTAAGGCTCGATGCTGGCACCTACTGGTCACATATAGATCAGCAGCCTTAACTAGTAGGGACACCTGCCTCAGGCCAGTACTGACAGCCAGGACAGTCTGTGCCAAGCTTACCTGCCCGGGCCTGAAGATGCTTGTGATAATGCTGTTCTACTGCACCACTCGACGATCTTCAGTACTTCCCTCACCCACTCCCGCATTAAAAAAATCTGGGCTCTGCATCCTTCTCAGTACCACAAGAATATTAGGCAGCAAGAAAGAAGAGGTCAGTTTAAGTGGAGGGTGCGCAGTCGGTCCTTCCCACCTCAGAGCTGGTGCTTCCTACAGAATTCCATTCCTTTTGACCTTTGTCTTATTTCTAGGTTGCTCTTGGGACACAGGCCTCCTTGGTGACAGTGGTGATGAACCGGAGGTTGAGAGTGGGTGGGCGGGGCTTGGGGTGGGGCTAGACCAAAGGGCCTCTAACTTAGGAGCTTCTCCATTCTGTTAGCTCTCAGGAACATCTAAGGCAAGACTGGCACCCAGCGCCCAGAACCCTGCACCCCACAGGTGAGAGACTGGCCTTGACAGAAGGGCGGGTTTTGGGGTGACAGTGACAGGGTATTCCTACCTACTTACCCTTACTTTTCTTTCCATAAGAACCATTTTAGTGGATGGGGCAAGTCATACCTGAAAGAGAGAGCTGGCTTGGGATGAGAGCTGGGTGTAGCGATGAGGGATGGAGGTATGCACCTGCGAATGGCGAATGACAGAGCTTTAGAGATGTATGGTCGGACATGGAAGTACAGTGACCCAAAGTGAAAGCTTAGCCCATGGGGGTGACATAGAGACTAGAAAAAGAAGGCAAATGACAGAACTCAAGAGGCCTGGGTCCTAACTGGAGATGCTAACAGGGGCAACGGAAAGCAGGAAGGCAGGAGGGAAGGCAGGCTCAGATAGGACAATCACCCCCACTGTAGAGGACAGGTGGACCAAGCCCAGGGCAAGCCAGTAACAAATCAAGGTTGCGGGTTCCTAGTGGAGTGATTCAGCTGGGGAGAAAGCCCCCTGGCTACCTCCCTGCCTCTTCAGACTCTCATTTTCGTTTGGGGGACAGGGTGAGGTTGCTCCTCATTGTGGTCACAGCCACATCCTGCAGAGCAGGGGAGGGGGAAGTAAGAAGCAAAACAAGCAGAAGCAGCCCAGGGGAGGGCCATGGCGAGAGGGACCTGGACTTAGGCACAGGATGTGTACCACCAGGGCTCGGCTCAGACCCCAGCGCTGTGGTCCCAGCCTTCTTTGGTGGGCTGCGACCTCATTGGCACCGCTCCTTGTCAGGAGGGGGCCTGGGGGGACTATCTAACTCGTAGCATAAAATTATTTTTACAGTTTGTTTTTATTATAAATTATGTATGTGTATGTGTGTGTGGCTGTGGAGGCCAGAGGTGTTGGATTCCCCTGGGGCTGGAGTTATAGGCGATGGTGAGTTGTCTCTGAGTGTGTGAGTCAAGCCACCTCTCCAGCTCCTTGAAGCCTGCTTTTATCATTTACTAAGACAAGTAGTTTAAATTCTCTTAGTGTTCCTGGGTGGTGGTGGTGGTGCACATCTTTAATCCCAGCACTTAGGAGGCAGAGGCAGGCCTGTTCCTACTGAGTGAATTGCAGGACAGCCAGGACTACACACAAAGACACCCTGCCTCAAAAACAACAAAAAAGTTATCTTTGCCTGGATTTCTCATTGTAAAATAGGACTATTGCCCTTTTGGAGTTGGAAAACTGAGGGAGTTCACTTGGCACACAGTAGGTGTCTGAAAATGTCAATTTATTAATTTTTTTTCAAGGTAAGATTTGTGTAGTTCTGGCTGTCCTGGAACTCACTCTGTAGACCACGCTGGCCTTGAACTTACAGAGATCTGCCTGCCTCTGCCTCCCAAGAGCTAGGTGCGAGCCACCACTGCCCGGTGCCAAATGTTCTTATTAGGGTTCTGGAGACCCTAATAGCTCCTGCTTCTTCTAAGACTATGTATGGCGCTCCAACTGACACAGGCTTTTCATCTCAAGCCTGGAAACAGGAGGACAATACCTATGTCTCTTTCTTTCTTTTTGTTTTTTTCCAGACAGGGTTTCTCTGTATTGTTTTGGAGGCTGTTCTGGAACTTGCTCTGTAGACCAGACTGGCCTTGAACTCACAGAGATCCACCTGCCTCTGCCTCCCCAGTTCTGGGATTAAAGGCGTGGGCCTCCAACGCCTGCGTATACCTATGTTTCTTGATGCAGAATATACAGTTAAGTGTCCAAAAGTGGGACCTGTTCGAACCCTGCCAAATGGTTCTCCGCTCTCCATTGTGGCAGGAGATTCCTGCCCTAACACTCCAGTTATACCAACCCCTCCAGCCAAGGTTCTCCCTGCTCCTCTGTGCTGTTCTGGTGACACACGTCTTAGTTTAGAGAAATGAAGGGGAAAAGCAGAAGCAAGGCTTACAGGATGGAGGGGCCCAGGGGAGAGGGAGGACAAAGCAGCCAGAGCAATGAAAATGGGTGAAAACCATTTCTCTCTGTGTCTCTGAGGAAGCCTGTGGCCTCCCCCGGCACCATGGAGTCCTTCAGCTCAAAGAGTCTGGCACTTCAAGCGGAGAAGAAGCTACTGAGTAAAATGGCTGGTCGGTCCGTGGCTCATCTCTTTATCGACGAGACCAGCAGCGAGGTGTTGGATGAGCTTTACCGTGTGTCCAAAGAGTACACGCACAGCCGGCCCAAGGCACAGCGGGTGATCAAAGACCTGGTCAAGGTGGCAGTCAAGGTGGCTGTGCTGCACCGCAGCGGCTGCTTTGGTCCTGAGGAGCTGGCCCTGGCTTCCCGGTTTCGACAGAAGCTGCGGCAGGGCGCGATGACCGCGCTTAGCTTTGGTGAGGTGGACTTCACCTTTGAGGCTGCTGTGCTAGCAGGCCTGCTCGTGGAGTGCCGGGACATTCTTTTGGAGCTGGTAGAGCACCACCTCACACCCAAGTCACATGACCGCATCAGACACGTGTTTGATCACTACTCTGACCCTGACCTGCTGGCTGCCCTCTACGGGCCTGACTTCACCCAACACCTTGGCAAGATTTGTGATGGGCTCCGGAAGCTGCTGGATGAGGGGAAGCTCTGAGGATCCAGAACCCAGCATATTGAACTTTGGCAAAATGACTGACCGGGCTTTCTAACCATGCACAAACGCTTGTCAATCCCCCCCCTCCCGCAGGCTTCATTCCCTCCCAAGAGTGTTGCCTACACCAAGGCAACCCCCACCCGAATGTGCTGGGAGGAAAGCTATGTTGAGCTCAGTGAGGCGGCTCTCCCATCCAGTGTCAGCAAAGGGAACAGCTGATTGAGGAAGTGAAACTTGGATCTGCTTCTCCCAGGAGAACTGCCCCCAAAAGGATCCTCCTCTTCCACAAACCCAACCACGGGGGCACTGAGGGCCAGAAGCAGGAAGGTGGCCGTCAGAGTCCACCTAGATCTCCTAGAGCTGGAGGCAGCACTTGGACACATAGCAGAGTTGTTCCAGTTCCTAGAAGGAGCTGGGGTAGGGGAGCACAGGGGAAATAAAACCACTAAAACATGCACAGGGCTCACTGTTTAATCTCTAGCTCCGTACTCAGACTGGATGTAGAGGAGAGGTCTGGAAACAACAATCGCCTCACCGTCCCCCATTCCTGAGCAGGAGTCGGGCGACTCCCGAAGTACTGAGTTGCCACACATTCTTCAGCTTAAGGAACAAAAGACAAACCATACGACAGATCCAGGGCTACAGATTATGGATAAATATGCAGTGAGGAGCCAGGCATAGACAGGCTGGGAACATGTTCTGCAACTGCCTCCTCGAACCCCAAGGCCTCCTCTTCCACCCCTTGGCCCCACCACAGGCCAAGCAGAGGAGCGGAAGGTGGGTGATGGACTGGAGCTCAGGCAGGCAGCATCCTACCCCACTGCTGCTCCTCAGAGCCAAGAGTTGTAAAGGGTCCCAGGGAGTTGCTCAGTTATGACCGAGCCCCTATCCTTTACCTTGAGTGGGAAAGACAGCGCATGAGTTTCCCGACTCTCCTGGCCTCAGTAACATGCTCGGCTAGGGAGGTGGGAAAGACAGGCAGCCAGCCAGCCAGCCCTCTCCCTGGATTTCCATCTCTTCAGTGACACAGAAATCACATTTTTCAGTTAGGAGGAGGAAGGAGTTAGATCTAGCAAATAAATATCACTTCAATATAGCACCAAATAAATTAGGTAGCATCATTAGAGATGGGGGAGGGTCTGTGCTGCCCTGCTCTAACCAGGAAACGGTGAAAGGGACAGCAAGGGTGTAAAGGAGCCTTTGAATCTAAAGGAGAGCACTAGATTCAGAACTGGGAAGAGCTCTGTTCCCATCCCCCACTCTTGCCAGAAAGTATCCCCGGCTGAGGAAGTCTCCACCAAAAGGCTGGGCAAGATGGCCAGAGAGGGGTGAAGCAGGCTGGGAAGCCCTGCTTGAGCCCCGCCTCAGCCTCCTCCCCCTCAGCCCTCCCTTCAACACCCTGCTTCTCATCAGTTCTGGGACATCAGAGTTTGAAGATTTCATCTTCCTGATCCCGCAATGTCTGGGCCCGAGAGGTCCGGGTCAGTGGCACGGGACCGAGGACTGCTCGCTGCTGCATCCTAGGGGAGCTGAGGTGGAGACCTGCGCCCTCCTCCGGTATCCTGCGGGCACGCAAAGGAAAAAGCCACAGTGAGGCGAGCACCGGGAATGGACCGCGTGAAAAGGTGCAGGGGCTGCCTTCCGAATTGTCTCAACGGCTTCTGGAACGCTGCTTGTCCTAACGCTGCTGCACAGTTCTTACATTAGTGAGAACTGTGAGAACACAGAATCCACACAACCGATTTTCCCAATGCCTCCCCCACTCCAGGTGTCCCTGGCTCTGCTCATGATCTTGGGAAATATGGGGGATTCTTCAGGTACCTTGGTCACCTCTTAGGTAAGAGAGAGGGGTCTGTGTAAGGACTGACAGGGACAGCTGGAGACTCACCCACTTTCCCCTTCCCTCAGCCTCTGGGCAGCAGCCTTCTTGGACAGACTGATCTGTGAGTCGAGTTTTTTAAGGAAATCAGAGGCAGAAAGGTCATGGATGGGTATGGAGGTTTCCTGGTGAGGTGGGAGGGCTTCGCCGTTGGCCGGGCCTGAACCTGACTCTTGATTCTTCCTCTTTGCTGAACGTGAACCACCACCATCCTTACTTAGCCGTACCTCTTCCTCTCCATTATCTTCCTCCTCAGAATCCAAACCATTAAATAGATCTCTGGGCTCTGTCAGGATGGGGATGTAGAGAGTTTTCTTCAGAAAGATGGAGTCGTTAGTATAAAGGCGGTTTGTCCGTTTAATCTGTTCCATCTTAAAAAAAAAAAAATCACCCAAAATTAATGACTGACAGTAAAGCTCACATCTGATATAGCAGCTCATGCTTTTTACCTTCTTTTTTACTATGTAGACCAGGTTAATCTCAAAACAAGCTTGGCTTAGGACCTTAGACTTTTACTAATGGCGTGCGTGGTGGGCACATGTGCACTTGAGTGAGCCCAGAGGCTGCGCTGTGGTTTATGCTTCCTAAGCCATCATTTCAAACTTGGTAAGTAATTTGTACAATTTTATTTGACTCCATAACAAACTAGCTAAACGATAAAGGGCTGATGCTAATCTTGTTTTATAGTTTTCATATTTTCTAGTCACAGGTCACCTTCACATTTTTAAAAATTATTGAGGCAGAAAACAAAAAAAAATGACCTATACCCTTTCATTTATTTAAAAGCCATCAAAACAGGGGTGTGGCATAGCACACAGTCCAGTCCTCTGGATGGAGACGCAGGGGGATCTTGAGTTCAAGGCCATTTTTGGTTAAATGAGTTTGAGGCTAGCTCAGGTTCCATGAGACTTTGTCTCAAACAAACAAAACAACCTATTAGTATTTACAGTCTTTTTTTTTTTTTTTTTTTGAGACAGGGTTTCTCTGTCACTTTGGAGGCTGTTCTGGAACTCGCTCTTATAGACCAGGCTGGTCTCAAACTTACAGAGATCCTCCTGCCTCTGCCTCCTGAGTGCTGGGATTAAAGGTGTGCGCCAGCAACGCCCAGCTAGTATTTACAGTTTTAATAATTAAAACTGAGGGGCTGAAGACTTGGATTAGTGGTTAAGAGCACTTGCTGCTCTTGCGGTCCCAGCACCCAATATCGGCTCACTGCCATCTGTAACTCTAGCTCCTGGTGGCACCAGGCGCCCCCCCCACCCGTGGCGCCCAGACACAAATGAAAGTAAACCGTTAAAAATAAATGCTTCAAACTCAGAGAGTGCTGAGCTCAAAGGCATGTGCCACCACTGCCCGATGATAGTGCACATCTTTAATCTCAGCACTTGGGAAGTAGACGCAGGTAGATCTCTAAGTGTGAAGCCAAGCAAGCCACATAGTGAGACCCTAGCTAATAATAAATAAAATAAATAAAGCTGAATGGGGCTACAGTTGTAGCCCTATGGTACAGGGCTTGCCTAGCATGTGCAAGTCCTGGGTTAGGTCCCCAGCAGACTCCAGCAATAACAAATAAATAAATAAATAAATAAATGGCCCCTCACGTGTTCTCATATGCTTGCCCGCTAACACCACACAATATTTCTCATCTGGGGTGATTGTCTCTCTAACTGCTCTTCCTCTTTCATGTACATGTATCTTTCTCTTGACATCTAGAAGAATCTGATTAACTCTCCAGCTCGCTAGCAACTTCCTATGGCTCCTCACTGCCTAAACAATAAACTCCAAGCGAGGGCTCAGGGACGCTCTCTCTAGCCTCCTGTGCATTCTACATTCTACCACCTCAACTCGCCAGCTCCCTTGTCATGTTACATGTGACCGGCCTGGAACTCTGACCCCTCTGCCTAGCGTCCTAACCGCTGAGATTACAGCTCTGTGCCACCAAGCCTGGCTTTCACAAGATGCCCCACCCCCCTTCCAGGCAAGTTTCTCTGTGTAACAGCCTGTCGGGGAACTCACTCTGTAGACCAGGCTGGTCTCGAACTCACAGAGATCCTCCTGCCTCTGCCTCCAGAGCCCTGGGATTAAAGGTGGGCGCCACCACACCAGGTAGCTTTCAGAAACCTTTTAAACTTCCATGTCATTGAGACTATGCTGGAATTTACAGACATAAAGTTGAAAGGAAACGCTTTCTGCTCTTCAAGGGCTTGTAGACCGCTGGAGAACAAGGAGATAAACATGTGGGCTCACAGATCTGCAGAAGGGAGCAGAGAGGGAAAAGTTCCCAAGTCTTCAAGGCCCGTATGATGGTAGTCCTAAAACCCGCACTCCAGAGTGCCTTGCTCACACTCATCTAGCTCTGATACAACACTTGAAGTTCCAGGCCAGCTTAGGCGACACCCTGCTGTCAATCCCTGCACTCAAGAGGCAGGAGGACTCTGTACTCTGTGAGTTCGAGGCCAGCCTGGTATACAGAGGAGTTCCAGGACAGGCTCCAAAGCTACAAGAGAAATCCTATCTGGAAAAAAGAAAACTTAACCAAAAAAAAAAAAAAAAAAAAAAAAAAAAAAAAATCCACCCTACCCCCACAACATACACACAAAATCAACTAATACCCACTCTCGATTCCAAACAAAAATTAATAGTTCCTGATTTCCCACCCCTTGAGAATATTTCTATATAGTCATTTTTCCTCTCCATTTCTCATTAAAATTTAAATTACATGAGCATTATGTACATAATATACATGCTTTACCTCCAGGAAGGGTTACTACAATGCTTTTAAGTGCAGCAAACATGGAAATTTGTCTAAATTCAACATTTGTTTGTATGTGGTAAAACAGGACACAGAGGGGAAAGCTACAACTTTAATTTTTATGCCCAGCACACTTCTCCTAGGTGTGACCAGAAATGCTTGCTGTGTGTAGAGGGTACTTGTTTTGTGCCTCATTGGCAAGAAAGCACAGCCCTGGAGTGGAAAGAAGAACTAGGAATAGGTACTTTAGGAACTCTGTGAATGCAACTCTTCCTGACTTGTGTAAATGTTTAGTCACTTTCAGTTTTTATTTTTTCCTGTGTGGTTAATAGTAGGGGCCTTAGAGTCAGACAGACCTATCTTAAATCTTACTCTGACACTCAAGTCATTTGACCTTGATCAAACTGGTTATTCGTCTTAAGTCTCACATTGATAGGGACACAAGGTCCAAATAGGTTAATGGCTATAAGCCACCCCCACCCCACCTCCGCGTCCAACCCAATCCAAGGAGCGGCTCCTCCCACCGGGATAGTAGGGCAGACAGCGTTACACTGAGATGTGAAAACAAAATAAGACAAAGCAGAGACCACAATATAACTAATACAATGTCAGGGAAGGCCGCTTAGCGGACTCCCCACTTTCTCTTGGGGACTAAATCTCTCCTAAATGGTCACCACACCCCAATCCTTGGTAGACTCACCGTCACCCCATATTTGAGTGCTAGTCCAGCCAGGGTGTCTCCAGGCTCCAGCTGATGCTCCAGGCGTCTTTCTCTCACCGGGGAGCAAGATGATTGTACCAGGCTTCCATAAGAACGAGTGCGGCTCCCATGCAACAGCCCTGACCCCCCAAGTGGGGGCTGTCTAGAGGGAGAAGCCATCTCAAGATGCCAAGATCTAGAGTCACAACTGAGGAGAGCTCGGCTAAGCGACCAACAGTGAGGGCCGAACCCCAGGAATAACAGATATTCAGGGAATTCCTTTTCACGTCTCTCTGTAGTCTCCCGGCTCTCGAGAGACTACACCAGTACACTTGCTGCCGCTTACCGAGCTTGGGGTCACAGCCCGTACCCTAAGAAGGCTGCCAGGCGGGTTACATTTCTCCTTCCTCAAGCTCCTTGCCCATAAACATCTTCCCTGAGTTGTCAGTCTCTGACCCCTTTACTTTCGACGCCCCCTCCCCAAATCCTTGCAAGACTGATCTCTGACCTTTGAACCCTAGACACCCTCATCAACTCTCTTCCCTCAGTGTGTGCCCACTCCCCGCACTGCCGGGAGCCCCCACATCCTCTCTGCTGCAAATCAGGCCCACTCCAGGCGGGTTGTGGCTGTGGACGATGAGCCTGTGGGCTGCGAGAGCTTGCAGTACACCGTCCACTGATATCCCCGAAGCCTCGCTCCACATCAGGAGGGTCCCACCCTGAAACTCCGGCTTCACATACAGGTTCTTGGTCTACAAACACCTTGGTCCTTCGAGATGCGAGTGCATGTACTCAGGTGAACGGTAAAGTCTTTCAAAAACAAACAAAAATATATAAGAAAATAACTAAAAGACTTCATTTCCCAAAAGGCACAGCGTTCTCCGGGCATCATAGGAAATGCAGGCCCCCCTCAGGGCGCTGGAGGCGGGTCTTCCGGCTCGTGCGGTGCATGCGTGGAAGCGCACCCCCGGAAGTAAAGGCTCAACCAGAAAAGAGACCGGAAACAGGGAAGGCAATAACCTACTCTTCCTACGGTGGCCTGAAGGAGAGGCGAAATAGGCGTAGGGATAATTTGTTATTTCTAGGACTCACAGTCGCGATGTCTTTCAAGAGGGAAGGTGACGACTGGAGTCAGCTCAATGTGCTCAAAGTAAGCCCTAGTGAGAGTCTGCTCACGACCAGTGGTGGCGCAATTCGGCGTTTGGGAGGCAAAAGCCGGAGGATCTCTGAGTTTGAGGTCCGAGGCCAGCCTGGTCTATACAGCTAGCTCTAGAACAGCCAAGGCCACACAAAGAAACCCTGTCTCGAAAAATCAATCGAGAGAGCGAGAGCCTAGCTTCAGTTTTCTTGCTCTGGCGACATCTGGGGGAGGGGTTTTAGGGGACCAGAACTGAGTGATGCCTCCTCCTTCTACCCAATGTCTGTTGTCCTTTTGACTTCCCTAATATTTCCTTTTCATCCATCCCACATACTCGTTTGTCCTGTCCTGCTCTCTGTAGAGACGAAGAGTTGGAGACTTGCTGGCCAGCTACATCCCAGAGGATGAGGCGCTGATGCTGCGGGATGGACGGTGAGGGCAAAGGGTGCATCAAGCCTGGGGATTTGTGATCAGAGGCTCAACAAACTTGTTTCCAAGGAGATCAGGAGTATAGCAGATTTTTTGGTTGGAAGTGAAGATTGGAAGAGGTGGAGATCTAGCGTAACACCCCAACCACCGGCTCTCGAACACATACGGAATTACCATTCACTTCTCTTTTCCCTAGATTTGCTTGTGCCATCTGCCCACATCGACCAGTACTGGACACCCTGACCATGCTAACTGCCCACCGTGCAGGCAAGAAGCATTTATCCAGTAAGTATAGGAGAAGCAGGGGAGGGGAGGAATGAAGGAATAAACTTGACATTTTGGTAGACCACCTGGTGTTGTGCTTTGTATTTCCTTTGCTTTTCTTCTCAGGTTTGAAGCTTTTCTACGGCAAAAAGCAGTCAGGCAAGAAAACAGAGCAAAACCCAAGGCAGCAGAATGAATTGAAGGCAGAGAGCAAAGCGGAGGTGAGAGGTCCAGTCCGGCGTTGTTCAGGCAGGGCTGTACTGCATGCAGCAGGCTTGAAGGGACCTTTGCCTGACAGCTCTGACTGTGTCTCTTCTCTCCATAACCAGGCACCTTTGCTAACCCAGACTCGATTAATCACCCAGAGCGCTCTGCACAGAGCGCCCCACTATAACAGTTGCTGCCGGAGGAAGCACAGGTCTGTGGAGTAGGAAAGCCGGAAGTGGAAAAGGGTTGAAGGACATAGATGGCTCTAGAGTTAACTGCTTTCCAAATTGTGTTCTGAGAAATTTTGTGGAGGTTGTTGTTTAAAGAAAAATGATAGTCTGTGATTTTAAAATAAAGATTAGGAAGTAGAGACTAGTAACATTAAGCTGGGCAGTGGTGGAGCATGCCTTTAATCCCAGCGCTCAGTAGGCCAAGGCAGCCAAGGCTACACAAAAAAACAAAACAACAACAAAAAACCCTGTCTTGAAAAACAAAACAATGCAAAAAAAAAAAAAGTAACATTTTTGTGGGATGGTGGCACATACCTTTAATCTTAGCATTCCAGAGGCAAAGCCAGTGATCTCTGATTTCCAGGCCAGCCAAGGCTACCGAGGGTAAAAAAAAAAATAGTAAAATTACCTGGGCATGGTGGTATACTTTTTTGCTTGTTATTGACTGGGGAATCATTCTTTGTATCCCTGGCTGTCCTGGAATTCTGCTATTTAAACCAGAGTGGCCTCAAATTCACAGAGATCTGCCTGCCTCTGCCCCTCCCTGAAGTGCTGCATGTACTACAGGTATGTACACCATACCTGGTTATGGAAAAATCATGAGACAAACATTTAGAAATGTTAAGCTGGCTTTTCTCAAATTTCTGATTCCAAAATCTTTCACATGTAGAATATTTAAGATCTTATGGAACTCAAGCTGGGTGTGGTGGCACACACCTTTAATCTCAACACTCAGGAGGCAGAGGCAGGTGGAGCTCTCAACCATGGTATGTAGTGAGACCCTGTTTCCTATCTCCAAAAACAAACAAACCAAAAACCTCAGGAACTCAGTTTAGGAAACACTGCTCTTCGGGCTTGGGAGGCACAGGGAAGCTGCTGCTTTCCTTCATTGCATTTCACAGGCTTGTGTTCTTTTCTCCCCAGACCGGAAGCCGCTGCTCCCTCTGTCTCCAGTCCTTCTTTGCCAGCCCCAGAGGTTGGACTCCAGAGTGCAATGATCAGTAGGGAACCTGAGACTAAGACAGAGTCACATGCCAAAGAGTCATCAGCTCTCTTGGCCTCTGCACCCATGAGCCCCACAAAACGACGAGCCCTGAACCATTACCTCACCCTCCGAAGGTTAGTCTGCTGGATCACATTCCTCGGGTTTCCTTCATTTTTCCCAACCTGACTTTTTTCAACCCAACCCAACTGCTCTTTTCTTGTCAACAGTAACTTTTTTTAAAATTTTATTTATTTATTTATGTAGGGTCATACTTGTGTAAGTCAGAAGGCAACTTATAGGGGTTTGTCATTTCTTTCTACCCTGTGGGTCCCAGGGATAGAACCAAGTACCATAAACCTTCTTCATAAAACTCTTGCCTGACCAGTTGTTTTTTTCTCTGATGTTTCCAGCTCTGGATGGATCCCAGATGGACAAGGTCGATGGATAAAAGATGAAAATGTTGAATTTGACTCTGATGAGGAAGAACCCCCTGACCTCCCCTTGGACTAATAACCCTCTCCCAATTTGTTCCACAAATAAACTACAGTGAGTCCTGGGAGCCCAATAATCTTCCAGTCAGGTTCCTTGTTCATCTTAGGGTTTTAAGTCTGTTCATTCTCAGCCTGGCCACTCCTTCCCTGCAATGTTCATGGCTCCTCATACTTCTGACCCCTCCCCCATTCCCCTCCCCCATTCCCTACACAGCTTTGCCAAGCGTCAGCTGCGTTCAGCCTGGTGCCCTATTAATAAGTCTCATGGACTGACTCCTCCTACCTCTGCGCTCAGTCCTTTTTCTTCAGCTCACATGTGGACTGCCAATGAACACTAAGGGGTTCTGGCCACCTCTCTGCAAAGAGGACCGAGGCCAAGTACCCTGTGAAGAGGCTGAAGCCTTTGGCAGATTTATGGGGAACACAAGGGACAGAGCTCCCCCTCCTCCTAGTAACCTGAACCTCCCTGCCTGCTGATCCCCAGAGTATAAATAATCCCTTGATGAACTGGCAGTAACCCTTGAGGGGTAGCGCCAAGATTCCCACCCCAACCCAAGGAAGGAGACAGGCGGCGTGAACAAAAGGGATTTTATTTACAGGAAATGGGAGAGATGAGGCTTTATATGTCCAGGCCTCTCATCTCTTGCTGGTTAAGGACAGGTGCTGTTATCTCTTCTTTTGCTGGCGACCTGTAAAGGAAGAATGGTAAACACAGCTCCATCTCATTTTAGCAAGGGCATGTTTCCCTTTCCCTTTCCTTAGGCAGATTTGTAAATTGCTGCCTCATGCCACCTGAAGGGCCTGTCCCATGTTAACAATGAAATCAAGAATACACACTGGAAAGTAAATGAGAGGTATTATTACGCCAAGCTTCCATCCTTCTCTATAGATGTGTACTGGACCAAGAAAGACTTTTGTATCTATTTCTCTGCTCGTTTATCACCACGTGCTTGCCAGCCACCCAATATTGATCACGAAATCTGTGTTCAGGAGTATCTGCCAATCTCCACACTTGCCTTCTCCTCTACCCAGGGGGGGTCTACAGCTACTTACGCAGCTCGTTGTTCCGCGTCATGGCCTGAGCTGCCCGAGCTCGTGGTCCTTGTTGTGTAAAGTGGTACCCAAAGCGGACAATAGAGGGACACTGCTCTAGCACAGTGGCCATCTCCATCTCCACCGCATCACCGGGCCACTGGCGCTAAGAATGGAGAGGTAAAAGCTATCAGATCTGTATGGTTGCTCACCATCCCAGCCTGTGGGCCGCTGGGAAGTAAAGAGGCTTCTTCTGTGGAGTGGGCAAAGAGGGTGCTGCTCAGGGAGGAGCTCAGCGGGTGTTTGCTGCTTGAAGCCCTGGGGAAGGAATGCTGACCTGGTTGTCTACACGGAGCTCAGTGAGAGTGGCATTTTCCCGAACTGCCTTCAGTACAGCCATGAGCCCTGTGCTGCTGATGAAGTTGGATTCAATGTTCAGGCTCTGGAGACTACGGTTCTCACGCAACATGTCAGCTACCGCCTGGGTGGTAGGGGCTTGTGTTAGGGTTAGGGGACAGTTTCATAGGTGACTGAGGAGCAGAATGGGAACAAGAGGGAATCAGCCCTTTTGAGGCAGGAGTCAGGATAGGGGAGTTGGTAAAAGCATGGAGAGTAAAGTGACTGGTGGGGTCCAGGGTTAGAGAAGGTGGTTGGGGGACGGGGGTGATGCGTTTGGGACTTGAGAGTTGTGAGCCAGAGGAGTAAGGGTACAGATGTCTGAGGGCTGCCATAGAAATCATGATGGGAATAGCACCCCCTAGTGTGACCCATGAAGACAGCCCTCACCAGGGGAGCATGACAGGGGATGTATGGGAAGAGGCCTGAAGATGTCAGCCAGCCTTACATTGGCGATGGGGTCACCACTCTTTGTGGCCACCAGACTGAAGCTGCGGACATAGGTGTTAGTCTTCAATGCTTCACATAAGTCGCTTAGCACAGGTATCGGGATGTCCTAAGGGGCACAGGATGATGGACTTAAGACTCACGCCTCAGCAGTTATGCCTGTTACTATTTAGGAGGATTCCAATACCTGTATATTATTGAGGTTTACTTCCTCCAGCTCTTTGTCATTGCTTCGCACTCTGTTTAGCATCTCCTCAATGTTTGTGGGATTTGGGGGTTCATCTGGTACTGGCTTATACTTGTCAGGCTGTACCACACCTGATGGGGATAAGAGCGAGAGGGAACCCCAGCATATCCCCCATCATGTCTCCCCATTGGCCTTCTACACCTTCCTGCGCCTTGTCTCACACTTGCAACCTCTTCTTAGCTGCTGGCCTGCCTGTCCAGAGCTCTAGGGGGTGGGGGTGGGCATGCTTCCCAGCACACTCACTGCTGATGCCTTCAGTGTTGCAGATTTCTCCACTGCAGATGGCATCATAGTATTGCTTGTTGCTCATCAGTGTGTACATGCCCAGGATCGCTGGTGAGGTAAACAGAGGGACACAGGAGTTAAGGTACCTGACCCAAGCCTTGCTCATGCCTGACTCTCCTGAAGCAGTTTTACAGCCTGACCTCTCTTCTGCTCTTGCAGAGTTTCTCACCCTGATTTCTAAAACTTGAGAGGGCTCAGGGAAGGCCATTGAAGAGCCACTAGAGGGTGAGGGCCATCTGCAGAGAAGATCCTCTGCTGGCCTCCACCACAACAGCTCTATTTTCATTTGCCTGTACAATATCCGTAAAGTGCTCTTGATGTTAACTTACTAATTAAACAACAACAACAACAAAACCCAAAGAAACAAACAAACAAAAAACCAAGAATGAACCAAAGTGCAAGCAAAACACAAGAAGAGTTGATAAACACTGCCTTGGGAGCCGGGTGTTGGCACACACTTTCAATTCTAGCACTCAGGAGGCAGAGGCAGAGGCAGGCTGATCTCTGAGTTTGAGGTCAGCCTGGTCTACAGAGCAAGTTCTAGCACAGGCTCCAAAGTTACACAGAGAAACCCTGTCTTGAAAAACACAAAAAAGCCACTGCCTTGGTGGTGGGTGGCACATGCCTTTAATCCCAGCACTTGGGAGGCAGAGGCAGGTGAGTTCAAGGCCAGCCTGGTCTACAGAGTGAGTTCCAGGACAGCTAGGGCTGTTGCACAGAGAAACCCTGTCTCAGAACAAAAACAACAACAAAAGCCCTAGGCTTCCTCGGGAGTCTGTGTCCTAGCGCAGGCCTTTCCTTCTAGTCCCATGTCAGGATAAAGATGCCAGCAGTCCCATCCCCCGCCTTCCTCAGCTTCCCGCAGCTGCCCACCTGCGATGTCACACATCTCAGCATCTGTAGCGTGGGACAGTGCCTCCTCCAACTCCGGCTCCAGCGTAATCTGTTCCTCTGCTGGAATTTCTCTCTTGGGCTGAATATAGGGTTTACCTGATGAGAGATGAGGACAGTTCAGGTAAAGGTAATTTCTTCCAGGATGGCAGCCTCCACCTTCCTTTCCTTCTCCATGTGGGGTCAGATTGGAGCCTTAATTCTCTGCAAGCACAGGACTCCGAGTACGAGCTGATGAGGCGACATGTGTCTGTAATGTCACCTTTGTTGTCACCTTTGGCAAGCTGAACTAGTAGGACCAATCGCTCAGCGCTAACCCTGGCTACACCATGAGACCCTACCTCAAAAATCAGAAAATCGAAGCCAGGTGTTGGTGGTGCACGCCTTTAATCCCAGCACTCGGGAGGCAGAGGCAGGTGGTTCTCTGTGAGTTCGGGGTCAGCCTGGTCTACAGAGTGAGTTCTGGGACAGCCAGGGCTGTTACACAGAGAAGTCCTGTCTCAAAAAAAACAAACAAAACATTTAAAAAAAAATTTTTTTTTTTCGAAGAACAAACTAGCATGCAGCTGTCTGGGACCTGAGTCCCTGACAGATGGCTGCCAGCCGTGAGAGGGAAGCTACCGGGGAGGTGCAAGAGACAGTCATTTGGTTTGTGAAGCATAGGTGTTAGTTAGGGTGCCCATACCCTTCTTCTCTCCAGTGAAGGGCACCAAGTCATCACGCTCCTTGACTTCCAGCGCCTGTTGCTCCAGGTACTGCAGTAGGGCGTCTCGGTCTAGTGGTCCGGTTGGACTCTTCTTCGTCTGGTCTCGTTGCCGCAGTCCAGCTGGCAGGAGCATATTCTTAGGGATAAGTTTTGGGGAACAAATCAGGCACCCTCGAGACATCTTTTCTCTGGCCCTCTTGGGTTCCAGGTCCTGCTGGTAGCCCTGTTCTCAGGCATCTAGCACCCACTATCGTTCCCACATATGCAGGGAGGCCCACACCCCTACTGGTACCCTGCCTCAGGCCCTGGTCCAGCCCACCACTCCTCCCCGGGGAAGTAGGATGCCCCGTCCCTGGGCTGCTGTACCCCTACCTCAGGGTCCATTTCTTGTAGCTCACAGTCCAGTTGTTCTAGCTCCTCAGGGCTCAAGGTCCTCAGGATCTCATCTTCATCAATGTCTCTGTATTTCTCCAGTTCCTTCTGATACGATGACATGGTGGCCCCTACCCCCTCCCCGCTCTGTGACACCCACAGCCTGGGGTGGGGGGATATGGGAAAAGTTGTTGGACATGGACACTGAGGACACGATAAATCTAGACATGGTTAGAACACTGAACTAGACACTTTGGGTGGAAAAATTAGGCTGTTCACTGTTACAATCCCTCCCTGTTCCTGTACTTTCCAGTCGTTCTGGTTGGGCATTCTAGGCTCCAGACTGGGTCTGCTCGCCCACTGTGTGATAGAGAAATCCTGGCAGCACTCTCCCCTACAACTTTATCCAACAGTGTCTCTTGCCTTAGCCCAGCTGCTGGAGGCCTGCCAGCACAGCGGGCTCCATGCCCAGTTCCTATTGAAAGGTGGGAGGGGGTGGCAGAGAGCTTCAGGGAAATTCTTCCTCTCTCCTATTACCCAGACCTTTTTTTGAAACTGAGTAAGCAAGGAAAATTGGTTGGTTTGGAGTGGTGGCCTCTTATTCCTCCTTGATTGTAAAGGACCAAGATGTCACTTTTTGTGTTTGCTAAAATGCTAAACCGTAAGGGAAAGCAAGGCTTAGAAGCT